GGTGGATAGGCCAACTATATCACTCTGATTTTCATAGTAAATCTAGGGGTGCAGCCATCTTAATACATAAGAACATTCCATTTACAATGTCGAAAATAGATGCAGATAGATCTGGCAGATATGTCATAGTCACAGGTAGACTATATGAAACTCCAGTTATCTTAGCTAATGTATATGCACCCACAGACCATGCTTTTTTCTCCAATTTTTTTTCCCGTCTACCAGACATGGATACACATTACCTTATTTTGGCAGGAGATATGAACTGTGCGCTTTCTAGTTTGGATCGTAGCTCTCTTAGAGTCATATCTCCAACCAAGTCTGCCCAGACTATTGAACTATTTCTCCGCTCGTATGGAGTTACAGATGTTTGGCGTTTCAACAATCCCACCTCCAGGTGCTATTCTTTCTTTTCACACGTTCATAAGACATATTCACGAATAGACTATTTTTTCATTGATAATCGTTTCCTTCCTATTGTCAGTAAATGTGAATATAATGCTATAGTTATTTCGGACCACGCGCCAATGTTGATGACACTACAGATACCTGTTTCACAAGTTACATACCGGCCATGGCGCCTAAATAGTTTATGGCTTGCTGATGAATGTTTTGTTCAGTTTATCTCATCTGAAATAGTCACATTTTTGGAATACAATCAAACACCAGGCATGTCATTCTCAACAATATGGGAATCCATGAAAGCGTATTTAAGGGGACAAATGATCTCATATTGTGCCCAAAAGAAAAAGAGTGAAATGGCACGGCTCAAGACACTAACTGATGAAATATTACATATAGACACAACACTTGCGCAAGCCCCATCATCAGATTTATATAAGCAAAGATTGATACTACAGACAGAATTCAATCTCCTTTCAACCAGACATATATCAAACCTCCTCAATAAGACTCGGCACAGAACTTATGAACATGGAGAGAAGATAGGTAGAATCCTTGCCCACCAACTGCGCCAGAAAGCTGCAGCTCAATCTATATCTGAAATAATAGATGAGTTCGGCACCAAACATATAAATCACTCTAAAATTAACCAGATATTTCAACAGTTTTATTCAAAACTATACACTTCAGAGTCACATAAAGAGGAACACCTGATCAGGTCTTTTTTTGATAATTTAGAAATCCCATTAGTGGATGACCGAATGGCTTCTGAACTGGAAAAAGAATTCACTGAGGAGGAATTTCATTTTGCTGTTAAATCTATGCAAAATGGTAAATGTCCAGGGCCAGATGGATTTCCTAGTGAATTCTTTAAAAAATTTGCTAAAGAATTAGCCCCTCTGTTGCTCTCTACATATAAAGAATCATTTACATCTAGCTCACTCCCTCCTACTATGCGTCAGGCTGTTATATCCCTTATTCTTAAAAAAGAGAAAAACCCAGTAGAATGTGGCTCATATCGTCCCATCTCTCTGTTAAATGTTGACAGTAAAATACTCGCTAAAATGCTAGCCCTACGACTGGAAAAAGTACTTCCTTCATTGATTTCAGATGATCAGACAGGATTTATTAAACATAGACAAATATCTTCTAATATACGTCGATTACTTAATGTTCTTTATGATCCCACTCCACCCAAGTGCAAAGAGGTATTAATATCCCTAGATGCAGAAAAAGCCTTTGATAGGGTGGAGTGGGATTACCTATTTTATACATTAAAGTGCTTTGGTTTTGGACAAAAATTTATACACTGGATTGAGACACTTTATTCTCTACCTAGGGCAGCTGTTCGGACTAATAACAACTTGTCTGTTTTTTTTGATCTACAGCGTGGTACTAGACAGGGCTGTCCCCTGTCACCTCTTCTATTCGCCCTAACAATAGAACCACTAGCTATAGCACTGCGTAACAGTGCTGAGATTAAGGGCATAATGAGAGGAGGAGCTGAGCATAAAGTGTCGTTATATGCTGACGACATGTTAGTATATATGACTGACCCTGTGATCTGTTTGCCAAAGATGTTTGATTTGTTAAACTCCTTTGGCAAGATATCAGGATATAAAATCAATGTGCAGAAAAGTGAGCTTATGAGTATTGACCCTAATTTTCAGCTCACTACAATTCAGTCCCTGCAAGTTAAATTATGCACTAACAAATTTAAATATCTAGGTATTTGGATAACCCGTAAGTTTAAAGATCTTTATGAAGCCAATTTCCCTCCACTTTTAGATTGTTTAAAAAAAGACTTAGATCACTGGAATCTTCTTCCCTTGTCGATAGGGGGGAGAATAAATGTTATTAAAATGAATATTATGCCCAGATTTTTGTTCCTTTTCCAGTGTATCCCCATCTTCTTAACAAAATCCTTTTTCATAAATCTAGATAAACTTTTGTCCGGTTTCATTTGGAATGGTAAAAACCCGCGTATACGTAGGGAAATTTTGCAACGTCACAGATTACATGGTGGGCTTTCCCTACCCAATTTTCAATACTACTATTGGTCTGCCAACATTAAAAACATAATGCACTGGATTCATTTTTCTAGAGAAGAAAACCCAGGTCCCAAGTGGCTAGAGCTTGAGCATGCATCCTGCTCACAAACATCTTTGCATGCACTAGCCTGCTCTAAAATACCTTTTCCAGAATCCATATCAACATACTGCATAAATCCAGTGGTGAGGCACTCTCTCAAGATATGGATGCAGTTCAGACGCGCTTTTTCTTTAACTGAGATGTCTATGGATGCCCCTTTGGTGGGAAATAACATGTTTGCTCCCTCCATAACTGATGATGCTTTTAAAACATGGACTGAAAGGGGATTGAAAACAGTCAAAGACGTACATATAGATGGCACCTTTGCAAGTTTTGAACATTTGAGAACACACTTTGACATTCCGAATTCACATTTTTTTTAGATATTTACAACTTCGTAGTTTTGTTTCCGCAAATGTTCCATCTTTTCCTTTGATAGCACCAGATTCCCTGTTAGACAAAATAATTAAGATGCCCCTTTGGCCTGGGGAGGTTGTTGGTAGGTTATATTCCATACTCAGCATGGACAATTTGAAACCATTAACAACATTAAAACATCAATGGGAGGAAGAACTGGATGCAGAGATATCAGATGAGCTATGGCAGGTCATCCTCAATAACATACACTCATCTTCTATCTGCCTACGACACATCTTTATCCAGTTTAAAGTTACTCATCGTTTACATTGGTCAAAAGCAAAGTTGGCTAGAATTGCACCAGATATTGACCCAGAGTGTGATCGGTGTAATATGGAGCCAGGCACTTTATCACATATGTTCTGGAGCTGTCCGAAACTGTCTGAGTTTTGGGAGTTTATCTTTGCTTTTCTTTCTAGAGTATTGCATACTCATATTGACCCGTCACCGATCATTGCCATCTTTGGAGTAGTACCACAAGAACTTGATATAGGCAAATGGGATAAAACTGTGATAGCATTTGTAACTCTCTTGGCCAGACGCATTATCTTACTGAAATGGAAGGATAAGTCTCCACCTGTATTTAAACATTGGATTAACGATGTTATGCACTATTTAACACTTGAGCAAATTCGCTATAATTTGCAGGGTAATAACATTAAATTCAGTAATATCTGGCAACCTGTTCTTACATTAATCGAACAAATGGACTCTAATGACATTGTATGATGTTTTTTTTTTTTTTTTTTTTTTTTTTCTGCTATTATACCTGTAGTGTGATGTGGGTGGGTGGGTTTTTGGTTGTTAAGTTGTTGTTTGTTGTATGTTAAAATACAATAAAAAAACTTTGATCAAAAAAAAAAACTTTAGCTGGAAAAAAACTTTATGCTAATGCAGTTGTAAAGCCTAAACAATCTGTTACGGTAATAGCTATTATAACTGTTAACCTGCTTTGAAACAATCCATACTGTTAAAAACACTTTATAAATGAAGGTGACTTGACTTGACATTTCAAAAACTGATGTCTACAATTCTCAGAGATGTTTCAGGTGTCCATTTTTATCTGGATGATATAATTGTTATGATGCCCACCACAAAACAGTGCTGCACAAACTGCAAGAAGCAGGTTTGCATCTAAATGAAGAGACATTCGGTACTTTTTTTTACCGAGTTCGGTACTTTTTAGGTACCGACCGAATTGCCTCGGTACTACCGAGTATCGAAACATGTCTTGTTTTTCAATACCAAATATCGGTACCTAAGTGGTTAATCTCGTCAATGTCAGTGAAACAATAAGCACGCAGCATGATAGGCTGTGGTGGAAAACACTAGTTTATGCGGCTGCTCAGAGACGTAGCTCGTCGCACGTGAGTGTGTGTGTGCGTGCGTGTAAGCGTCCCAACCCAGATGGATAGAAAATATGTGGAAATGATCCAAAGTGTACCTGTGTGCCAGACTCGATACCAGAAGCATGCAATGCAATATTTTCGACAGGATAATTGCCGCCAAGACCAGTAAATCTGATAAGCGCACAGACACTTGTTGAGAGTACCGTCTTCCACTGCAAGAACTGGAGTGCGTCTCAGATGAACTGACACTCAGCATATGGGATACTTGCTTCATAGACATGAGAAATAGGCCTATAGTCGGTCAAAATATGTCTACTTTTAAACAAAACAATTAGAAAGGAATAGTTTGATTACCTGATCCATATACGTTAGGCGCGTGCATTAACTGCTGCAGGAATGACGAGTCAGCATTGCCATAATCATATTTGCTGCCAGCAGACTTAATAAACACTTGTTCATTAATAAATTAATAAATCATTAAAAATATATCCTTGCTGTTGTTTCCCGACACATCCATAATCATTAGGCTTCTGTTGTTAGTGCTTTGCGCAAGCTTCACGTGTGCTGAGCGCGAGGCATATATCCCGCCCCCCAGAAGCCTATATTTAATTCACATTTATTACATTTATTACATATAGCATTTTTCACAATACATATATTTTCAAAGCAGCTCAACAGAAAATGCATGTTTCTGTCACATGAGGTAATCAGACGAGGTAGTAGGATCCATTTGCAGATTTACTTTATTTATACCACTCAAACTATACAAAGACATACTCAAGAATCAAGAAACAGGAATCAGGAACAGTAAAACCAGCAAACAACATTAAGGACCCACAAAGACTGAACTAGACATACAGGCTTAAATACAAGAGAAAACGAGCTAACAAGAGAGTGTGGCTAATAGGAAACACCTGTGACAGACTAATAAACATAACGGGGAACTACTTAACATGAAACAATACAGAAACAGACTAGACTTGTGACATGCATGAAACCTTACAGAAACAGACTAGACTGTGACAAACATTAAACTAGGCAGAAACACAGACTAGCCTTGTGACATAACCTCCCCTTTAAAGAGCGTATACCAGACGCTCTTCAAATTATTGTCCAGAGTGTTAGTGAAACGGAGGCATTCTTGGGGCAGGTGGGAGTGCCAGGTCAATGGAGCAAACTGTGCCGGCGGCCAAGGCGGTGCACGCCGTATTTGCGACCAGGGTGGACCAGATAGTTCAGGAACAGCCTCGGGAGCTCCCTCCTGGGCAGCCTTGGAGTGATGCGCAGGTTCGGCTGGACTGACGTGAAGCGACTCGGGCTCGGCTGGACTGACGTGAAGCGACTCGGGCTCGGCTGGACTGACGTGAAGCGACTCGGGCTCGGCTGGACTGACGTGAAGCGACTCGGGCTCGGCTGGACTGACGTGAAGCGGCTCGGGCTCGGCTGGACTGACGTGAAGCGGCTCGGGCTCGGCTGGACTGACGTGAAGCGGCTCGGGCTCGGCTGGACTGACGTGAAGAGAGACAGGGTCGGCAGACACGACGTGTACAGTCTCAGGGTCGATGGCCCTGATATGCTTCTGGACCAACTCAGAAGCGCCCACCGTGGCCTTAACATGAAACAATACAGAAACAGACTAGACTTGTGACATGCATGAAACCTTACAGAAACAGACTAGACTGTGACAAACATTAAACTAGGCAGAAACACAGACTAGCCTTGTGACAGTTTCTAAATTACAATTTAGAGTGATGATCTGTTATTATCAGAGGTGACAGTGTAATGCATTTCAATTAATTTTCATTCAGTTTCATTGTTAAACAATGCATTAAGATAAGGCAGAAACAATGAGCTCATTAAGGTAAAAAAAAACATGTTAAATGATTAGGTAACATAGAAAACTTTAGCATTGGTGCTTTTATACATACTCAAAATATGGGTGTGAAAAAGTCAACAACTGAAAATAAAATAAAAATGTAGGTAATTTTATATTGATAAAACTGGTTACATAATATTGGTATAGAAAAAAGGTATCGTTCAGGAACCGGTATCGAAGTCAAGGTATCGGTATCGGTATCGAACATTTTGTTATGATACCCAGCCCTAACGCAGCAGTTGTTGAGCCTATGAGAGCTCAGAGGAAACGAAAATTTCACATGGACCACCGAAGCACACAGAAGTTTCCAGAAAGTGAAAGAACTGATTGCAGAGAGCCCTGCATTGGCTTTATACCCTTTGCCCACAATTGTCTCAACAGATGCTTCGGACTATGGCATAGGTGGTATCCTGACTCAGATCCCTCCAGATATGTCCGAAGGAACTGTGGCTTTTACTTCCAGAATTTTGACAGCTGCACAGAGGAAATACTCAGTTGAAAAAGAACCCCTTGCTTGTGTCTGGGCCATTGAGCGTTGGAGAACATATATGTGGGGCATACCATTCAAATTAAGATTAGATCACCAAGCCCTGACTACCCTGTTGACTAGTAAGGGCATGGGACGAGCCAGACTGAGAGTAGCTTGATGGTCTACAAGACTGCTCTGTTTCAATTATGACATGGACTATGTGGAGCTGACCTCAGTTCCTGTCATCAGAGTTCAAACATTTCCTGCAGGAAAGAGAAATCAAGCACATTCTCACCTCCATATCCACATACCATCTGGAAGGAAATGGAGCTGTTGAGCTTTGGAATTAGGTACTGAAGTATGCCAGGTTCTGCGGAGAGAGAGAGGACATCATTTATTGTAGAATTCTTGCAAACGTACAGAGCAACAATTCATACAATCACAGGAATTTCTCCTTTCGAGCTCTTGTTTGGAAGGGAAAAAAGAACAAAATTGTCAGTCCTTCCACAGTACAATCTGAACCCTGCCAGGAATAAACTGAGAACAAAAGGGATGCAAAATCAACAAAAGGTGAAATCATACCTGAACATAATAGCGTAAAGCAAGGATTCCGCAAGGATATATGTGAAGGGATAGATTCTGGAATCCACTGCTGCTTTAATATATCTAATGAGTGATTATAATCAAAGTATTTATCAATATTTTTCCTCCTAAATATCAAATGATATGAATCAGGCTTATGAGATTTTACTTTGTTATAGAAGTTACCAGTGTGATTACTTAAATGTTCTTTTCATGTATTCTTTAAAGGACAAGTTCGGTATTTTACAATTAAAGCCCTGTTTTAAGATCATCCCTGATGAAATAGAATAGTTAAGATTGTTTTTTAGACAGATGCTCCTGTCACGAGAATTTTTTGGATTCTGTGTTAATACCCCCCCCCCCCCCCCCCCACCTTTATAATGAAAGCATAGGTGCACTCGAACAATCATTCATTAAAACGCATAAAACTTTAGTGGTCTGGGGTGTTCACTGACTCACACAAAAATCGCTGCAAAATATGCTTTCCAAAAGGTTTTATCGTAGTTTTTGTCCAAGGCCATTTTCTTCCTGTTTTTGGTCGAAGTTCCCAGTTGTCGATTGTCGAGTTTGCGAGTTCGCGATCCTTAGCAGATCTCTGTTCCTACATGGGGCTACTGATTTTGGCCGGCGTCTACAGATCCAGAGGGGAGTCCACACGTTGCCTGTGGGATGATCGCAGTGGTCGTGCGATTTTCAGAACCACCATGTCCCTCTCAAGATTCTCCCAGTCCATCCAGATCCAGGATCCTCTGAATCCTCCTCGCCTTCAGTGGAAGCTTGAGATGATGATGAGGGTGCCACATCCACACCAGGATCTGACTGTCCTGAGTCTGCGGTCAGAGTGAGAAGACAATACCTCCTGCAGCTCGCTGGAGGGGTCAGACTGCATAATCATCTCTAAAACTTCACTACAAGTCAAGCCCTTTCTCATGTTGCTTGCTGCTCTTCTCACCATCAAATGACAAGCGTTTATATCCACTTGCTTTGTTTTTGTTTAGTCTGCATTTCTCACCATCAAAAGGCAGCAGATGCATAAATACACTTACTTTGTTTTTGTTTACTCCATGTAGTTTTGAGAGCTGAAGTGTATATTTTTATTTTCTCAGACGCATCAAGGTGAGTTCTCACACTCTCTCACACACTCACGCACACACACACATACTGTATACACACTGTAATATGCTATTATACTCCATATAACTCCATGTAAAAGCCAGAAACTAAGCTTTTTTTTGCACAGGCCTGTCTAAAGGGTTAAATGGTTCCACCTGGTTATCAACAGTAAAAATTACAAATTTTACCTCTTCCCAACAGGGAAAACCATCAACAATCAAAAATGCATGATTTTATGGTGTCATGGCTTTGCAATCAAAAAATGTGCTTATAATGGAAGTCAATGGGGCAAAAACAGCCACGAACAGTAAATGAGGGAGAAAAAGTTAAAATCTGATGCTACACAAAAACTAACAATGCATCAAAACCAATGTTGTTTCTAATCTTTGACATGTCCAAGACTGTGATAAAAGGTAAAAAAAAATCCAGTCCACAATCATATTTTATATTGAAAATAAGTCATTTTGTGTTTTTTCCCCCCAAATCAGTGACATCATTTATGAATTTGGCAATTAAAGAGTTAAAATCCTGAAATTTTTTTTTTAAATTTAGTAGTTTTGATCAGGACTGAGGTCGGTTAATAGATTTATGCAAAGAAAATTGAAAAAAATATTTATCTGATACATTTTTACAGCAGTTTAAAGTAGTGGCTTTTTTCAGCCACGAACATAACGAAAGGGTAGTGAATTTGCCCAGAGTGTACTGTTGAGTTTTTGAAAAATTTCAAAGCATTTTCCTAAAATATGTGTCAAAATAAGATTTGTCACTAAAAATCATTCCATTTGCTGAAACAAGGAAAAAGTTATGGCCAAATTAAGACTAAAAAATACCCCTTAGTGGCTGAAAAAAGCCACAACAGCACATAAGGGTTAAAACAGGGCTTTAATTGTAAAATACCGAACATGTCCTTTAATGTCTGTATAAAAATCTGAGAGGTGACTGAGGGTCTGGCTCAAATGCCAGGAATGCAGTAACAGTGCTTGCTCATTTAGCCTGGCTTTCAGAAATGAATTATAGACTTCTTTAACACGTGTCAATACATATGCTTTTCTAGGGTACCCTGACTGGTCATTGAAGTCTATAGTTTAAGGGACCATTTACTTGTTAAAGCCTTACTTTCCAGTTATATTAAAGTGTTGTCTCCTTGAGAGAAAGAACATATCATCTTGATGTTGTGAGAAGACTCTCCTGTTCATAGTTAGAGCCTGGCCAAATCCAACCTTGAAGAAGCGTTGTGTGTTAAGTCTTCTTGGTTACAGGTTAAGGATGTGTAACGAATTGAGGCGAATCAAACACAACTTAATCAAATTCATCTCATGGAATTAATTCAAATGTGATCCAGCTCTCCAGTTTCTGGAGCTCACATTCCATCAACTGGATGGCTCCAAAAGGTCTACTTTGGGGGACAATAACCCCCCCCCCCCCTCTTTTTATGGTCCTGCAGACCAACAGAATGCCGCAGAAAGGGGGCACTCCTTTGATCCTGGACAAAGATTTAACTCAGATCTCCTTTTTCTAACTCAGCTAAACAGGAAGAACTGTCAATATGTTAATGTTTTACCCAAGACAAATCTGCTCAAAAAGGCCTGTCCACCAAGAGGCCTGACCACCCTTTGATCCCCTGACAAAGATGTTCCACAGACCTCTTCCCCCACGAGTCGAACATACCATGACCTCACTGTTGAGATCTGAAATCTCACACATAAAATCATATAAACTCACCCCAGAGCAATTCTTGGACTTATAATCAAACATCATAATTCTTATTGCTTTCTGCAATTCATGTGTTGTGTTTGTTAATGCTGTAAAGACTCTGTTTGGGTCTGATCAAGGGGGAATTTGCATATAATAATTAATAATTCATAATTAATAATTATTCATACAGATTTGGAGCAGACCAGTCTTACATGTTAATAAATCTCCCATTTAGGGAGGCTTTATCAATTTTACTGTTTGCATACATGTGTTTCCCTGCAATTAACCACAAATTAATTGTAATCAATTACACTGACCACGTTTTACAAGACAAGTAAAATTAATTAGCTCAATTAATTTATAGAGTTGTGAAAACAAATTCTGTGGCCACAAGAATTAGTTTTCCTTCTCTATAAACAATTACCCTTTTAGGTATGTTTAGTTCTGTAAAGCTTGTAGCTTTTGATCGACATTTCATTGACTAGTATTATGAGCAGACAGTAAATCAGTCAAAAATGAGTATAATGAATTTTAATACGGCAAAACACTACTTAAGCATTTACTATGTTACAATGATACATGTATTTACAAACATTAAAACACAAACTAAGACGACGCGGGGCGTTTAGACAATGAGTACACGTAAGTGAGTTGGAGAGAGAGAGAGAGTGAGAGAGAGGGTATGTAGAGAGAGAGAGTTACATTCACCAAGACAATCACCTTTCTGAAACACACGAAAACACATTCTTAATGCTCTGGAAACAGGGTAACCCAAATTTACTTGCATGTGAAAATCTCTCATGTGTTTCTGCGTTCCTTGAGCGGCCTGCGTGGTCTAGCCGCGAGTTGGACGGCGGATCTTTTGTCCTCCGTGCGCGTGCGGCCCGCATGGTTTAGCTGTGCACGTGGCTCCTTTGTCCCGTGGGCGCGGGGCGTCACGTGGCATTCGGGGCGAGTGTTTGAGAGGCTTGAAGTCTTTGAGGTGACGTTACCCAATGAAATAGTTCGGCAAAGTCCGCTTCCTTTCCTGAGAGGCGAACTTGGCAGTCCACTTGAGGAAAAGACGAAACTTTAGACGAACAAAGAAAAGATCCAGGATCGGATCTGATCTCCGTGAGGAGATCACGAGCGTTACATGTTTCTCTGGGAAGGTCAGAAGGTAAGAGAGCGTCCAGAGGGCGGAGCTCACATTTATATGCTTGAAGACAGCCAGCCTTTTCCTGTCACTGGGCCTATCGGAGTGTGGGGGGAGTCGCACGCGGGAGCTTGCGTTTTTATGGTCTTTTGTTCTAAGACCACGTGCTCCTCATGGGAAGGGGTGTGTTCAAGGAAGTCTAATAGTAAAACAATTTGATCTTCATTGGCGGTAAAACATATTAAAAATATACTTTACTTTATATCTCTGTGCATATTCGGGTGTTTCATTCCCTCAGCATTCTGGGGACATCAAGGAACATTATGTTACATTAAAGGGATATACACTTATGTTTAACATGCATAAAAGAAGGTATTTCTAATTTCTATTTATGCTGCGACCAAACAAAGTTATTTCACTGTGACATGGGGGAAAACACACATACATAAAACCATTGAAAATATTTTGTTAAATGTCTTTAAACACAAAAGGAATGCCTTTCTCATGTTCAGAGATACGTTCTGCCATATTCCAGAGGTGTCATAAAAGTCTTGTAACTCGATGCCACTGGGGTAAGTGGCTGAGTGTGTGTGTGTGTGTTTAAGTTCCGGGGGAGGGTTGAGTCGCCTGGCAAAGTCCTTACACTCCCCCTTTTCGTCAGATGAAGTGGACTTCATCGGACGACACCCATTACAATGGACGGATGGCAGGTGAATCGTGAAGGTCAAGTAGCAGGTGGCGGTTAGGCTGAGGTTGGGGCTCAGCTTGATGAGGTTCGACGCAGCCTCCAGTGTGGTACCCTTTTCCTGAGGGTCCCGTGGTGGCTGTGGAGGTTTGCATTTTATTGATTCTCAGGTGCAGCATGAATGTCAAGTGTCAGGGCGTGGTTGATTACCGTAGAGGTACCCAGCGCAGAATCAGCTGCAGTCCAGGATTGGACAACAGGTGAGGCAGTTGAGGTGTAGTGCAACAGGTGTGCAGTTGAGACACAGCTGGGAGGGAACAAGTTCAGTTCGGCTGGGCCCCCCCTTTCACCGTTCATAATTCCAGTTCTGGAATCAGGGTGAAATCGTGGGTTTCGTAAAGGATGGGACTTGATGGGATGGGTTGCGTGTTCAAAACCACATTGTGTGTGTCCCTCCCAAGGTTTAGTCAACATGCCGATGAAAATTCCTATGATTATTACGAATTCTTCTGTAGTTAATTACGCAGTTTACATGCAGTTAAACTTAAGTTTAATTAACAAGGCATCTGTGAAGTTCGTCTTCAACGTTTAGCAAGGAGTATTCCTAACCCAGTGAAGGTAAATTTTAGCTAATAAGAATTGTAAACATGGAACGTGAATAATTAGAAACCCTAACTGGTGTTGAGAAAGTATTCTAGAATACTTTGCACTGTGGAACACGAACGGTGATTAAGGGTTCACGTAAATGATGCTAACTGCTAACTGTGGAGGTTATTCAGCTTAGTCTACGTTGGATGGGAGCTAGGTTAGGTTAGCTTAGCCTAAGTTAGCTTGGTGCTAGGTTAGTTTAGCTTAGCCTAAGTTAGCTTGATGCTAGGCTAGGTTAGCTTAGCCACCCAGGCTGGTTTGTTTACAAAAGTGACATTACGAGGTAACACTTCCTGTGATAAGTTGTTGTCATGGGAACCAGAGCGTGTCAGAGCAATTCAACAGTACCTGAAGAATGTCTGTATATTTTACATGAATCATGCACGTTTTAACAGGTTAAACGGAGGCGCCTATACTTTATGATTTTCAAGAACTTGGTTGCATTCAGTGAAACGCAAATGTGTTTTGGCATTTGCTAATTTTCTCATGGAACTCTGTTCTTTACTTTACACATCTTCTATTTGTTTACAGAGTAAGGAAATAGATTTGCTGCTAAGTCAAAGCTTGTCTAAGCATATATAGTTACGTCTCTCTCATGCATGAATGCTGACTTTTCCGCGAGTTACTTGTTTTGATCGTTTAGTGGCTTTCTGCTTGTAGATGCAGCTAAAATTTAGGTGAATTACATCAATCTAAGGGGAGCGTCACCCAGGTCTACATACATATAACTCTTTCCTGAGCTTCCTTCGTCAGAAACAGGTTTAGTCAAACCGCGATTTGGATTTCTTTTTAACATATTAACGTTACAATTAAAACGACAGTCCTGAGATGGCTAATAACAATAGGTAGGTATGGGAAGGTCTAAACATGGACTAAACATGAGATACATACGTGTTTTTCGAATGAACAAAAAATGACAAACTTTGATGTTTATGGAAACTCACCCCATAAGAAACAGAAAAGTATTTTTGCAGATCTCGTTGCCTCCAATGAAATAAGTCGTTCGGGCACACTTTCTCTTTTTCGGGGTCTTCTTTGTTGATGTAACCATCTCCGAAGTTTGCACTGTGTGTCTGTTTGCCTCTAAATGTCCAATAATTCAAACACCAAATCAAAATCAAACACCTTGGAAATGACAGGTATGTACTATGTTTCAGGAATGGCACAAAGTTGTGTGACTGTTCAAGCCTCTGTCTTTAGATTTGTCCTTTGTTGTGTATCTTTGGATTATATTGTTGTGGTGAGCAGGACGGCCGAGGGACGTGAGAGAAAGTCGCGAGGCCGGTGGTGCGATTGCTAATGAGCAGCACCTGTGAAGCACACCGGTCTCGCATCTCTCACGAAGGAGCGGAGCCACAAAAGGGGGAGCGACGGAGTGGATGATCGAGAGAGGAACAGGCCTGCTTTTATTTGCATTTTATATTTTATTTGGTAAGCCAGCAGTCCTCCGTGAGGGGCTGCTGGCCGGTATTTATGTTTTATTTTGGGTAGCCAGCAGTCGTCTGCGAGGGGCTGCTGGCAGGTAATTTGTTTGTTTATTTTATTTAAATAAAGTTTTATTTTATTATTATGATCCCGTTCCTGCCTCCTTCTTCCCTGAACTTTGTTACACTGGTGCCGAAACCCGGGAAGAGGGAGGAACGCGCTGTCCGAGGGTCCTCGCCGCTGTGGGGAATCCGCGGTGCCATCGAGCATGGTGCGCGAGTCGCCGCCGCTCGCCGGCCGTGGGCCGGAGCCTGCTGCCGTCCGCCGCAGAAGGGGAGGAGCAGGGAGCGGGGGACTCGCGACCATGGACGCTCGAGGCGGGGCGCTGGGATGAGTTGCCAGTGGGACGCCCGAGCTCGCCGCCGACCGCCTGGAAAATGGAGGGGCGGCTGCTGTTTGGGAGGGAGAGGAGGAGTCACCGCCGCTTGCTGTGGGCCGGAGCCTGCTGCCATCCGCCAGTGAAGGGGAGGAGCAGGGAGCAGGGAGCGGGGGACTCCTGCCGTCTGCCCAAGGCACCCGAGGAGCCGTCGCCGTCCACCGGGGGCGGGGGAGCGTCGAGGCGTTCACCGAGGGCCATCCAGCGTCGCCGCCGGGCACCGCGGAGGAGATCGCCCAGCTGGTGAGGGACAAGATGGCAGCGCGTTGTGGGAGCCGGACCAATTTTTTTATTTTTTTTCTCCTCTCTCCCCTCTCTCGTGTCCGTCGCTCCTCGTGCTTCCGTCTCCGTCTCCCTCGGCTCGTCGATCCATACCCCCTAGGGATCGCCGCCGCCGGGGGGGGAGTAGGCACAGTCTCGGGTGTACCCCCCGGCCTGTGAGGGGTGATGGGTTATGTGGTGAGCAGGACGGCCGAGGGACGTGAGAGAAAGTCGCAAGGCCGGTGGTGCGATTGCTAATGAGCAGCACCTGTGAAGCACACCGGTCTCGCATCTCTCACGAAGGAGCGGAGCCACAAAAGGGGGAGCGACGGAGTGGATGATCGAGAGAGGAACAGGCCTGCTTTTATCTGTATTTTATATTTTATTTGGTAAGCCAGCAGTCGTCCGTGAGGGGCTGCTGGCCGGTATTTATGTTTTATTTTGGGTAGCCAGCAGTCGTCTGCGAGGGGCGAGGATATAGCTACGTGTAAGTGCAGTAAAGTCATTTCTGCCTCACGCACCCGTGAAACATAGCGAGGATATAGCTACGTGTAAGTGCAGTAAAGTCATTTCTGCCTCACGCACCCGTGAAACATAGCACGCAAAATCCGCCTGGATTTTAACTATTGCATGCATTCAAATTTTGCGCACGCCCTAGAAGGGACAGTGAAGTGGTTCTGATTGTAATTGTACTCCCCAACGCAAGAGCGCAGCCTAGCGCCTCAGAGTTTCAAATTACTGTCAGACCCCTTTTCATCGACGTGAGCAAAATAGCGCCATCGCGTGGACATTTTTTAATAGGTCTTGTTTTCCTGAATTTCCCTTCCCAGTCATTGTTAACTTTCACAGTTGAAGCGATAACGACGCTCGCCTCTCCTCGCGTTCTGTTTGAGATTTTAGTCTATTTTCAGTTGGGCTCATTCTGTGTCAACTTACAAGCTGATTGGCATTGAGAGTGATACCCATCCGTTAATTTTCATAATCTCATTCAGATTTAGTTTTGAGAAAACGTAAGAAGATAAACCTGAATTAAATTCTCATTTAATCTCATGCATTGTGTTATGGGCATTTCCACTTAAATTTCGTTTCCCTCCAAATAAGGTTATTGATTTCTCCCTCGGGTAGATCAATAAGTCTTATTAATAAATTACTTTTTCTCCTT